ACATTATTACATATATATATATATAAGAACATATAAGCATTTCCGACATATTTTTGTCGGAAAACATTTATCCTGAACGATTGAGGCGAGGAAAAGCTGAGCGCTATTTGTTGTACACTCGGCAAAGAACTAGAAGACGTGACATCTCGCAATTGTGCGCTATTGTGCTATCGCAGATCACCCGGCGGTCGTATCGGCGACACACTTCGCCGGGCGCGTGACGAGTACATTATCGCGGCCTGTTGGTATTGTTTGACTTAACTAGACGAACACGCCAATGTACGGGAGACACGTGTCCTCATACGACAAAACCGATTCAAACTGTCTTGGCCAGGAAAAAAAACCTGGCAAACGGTTGAAAAAGCTGCAAATGCTTTGTATGGTATTCGAAATAGACGAAATGAAAACAAATCGACGGAGATGGGTCTCGCGCGAAATTTTATCTTTGAGATTCTCAGTTGTTGAAAAGTCTTAAAGAACAATTAAACAAATCGTTTTCGTATTAAAACTCGAATTGCGCGCGAATGGAGAGAAAAAAAAAATAGTTAAAACGGATCTCACGGAATTATCACATCTCCCCGAACTTTCTTCGCGAAGATCGGGCGATACGTAATCACCCGGAACTAGGGCTTTACGTCAAATCCCTCTTTTCCGTGTTCACCCATTTTCCTGCCTGCTCGAAGGAACACGTTTGTCTGTGGGGAAGGAACCGCGCAGTCTGCGAAGAAGAGGAAGGAATCGTAGAAACACGCGAGTGTCGGGACACACGGAGCGCGGAAAAATTGTATGAACTTGCGGTCGTCCGGAATACAGTGGCCCCGCGTAATGAATGTGGGAGTTTCACACGGGTCAACGGATCGCTGCCTTTTCTAGAGATACGTGCGAGGTGCTCTTGGAGTGCACTCTCTTTCCCTCCTCTCCTCTCTACTTCTCTCTCTTTCTCTCTCTCTCTCTCTCTCTTGCTCTCTCGTTCTACGTCCGCCGGTGCAAGACGAGAGTCAAAGCGTATCCCTAGCGTGTGTGCTCGTAATAAACCGCTTGATAACTTATGCATTCCGAACGGATGCTATCTGTCTCTCTCTCTAGCGCCGTTGTAAATAAGATGTACAAACTATGGACGCGGCGCATATTCGTGAGCGCATCAGATAAAAGCGACCGTGCGCGCGCGCGCGCGCGCGGTCTTTTCGACGTGATGCCCGCGAAAGGTGTTGCTAAATTGCGCGTCGGAAACTTTCTTCGCGCGATCCGGATTCGTTAATTCACGTCCTGGTGCAGATATACACCGAAGACCGAGACATTCTCTCGTTGTCGTTCACTTCTCGTAGCTGCATTTGTTTAGTGACATTAATACAAGCACAAGTTCCACGTTCGTTTGACACGTCTGCTTTGTTTTGATAGCGCGTCGTAATTGTCACGTTGAATTTACCAATTTCGTGAAGATATTTACGAATCAAACGTAACGAATAATTCCTTGAAAAACGACTTCGCGCATAATCATTGATTAACCTTCGACCGCAAATCACTTCGTCGAGTTTAATTCGCGCTGAGTCGATTTGCGTGCCGCGCACCCATTGCCCTTTACTGGAAAGACATTCGTTACTTTCAGCGCTTATACATTCGATAATGGCGGTAATAGCGACCCGAGCACGCCGCACGAGATTAATATCGATCGGTGTGATGCATCAGTCGTGTCGCTCGACAACCGAAAAGTCGCAGAATGGAAAAATTTAGCGCGCGATTCCTGATTTGGAAGAGAAGTCGCCGACCTCTTGTCGCTAAAAAAAAAAAGATTCATGAAAATATCTCATCGAATTGTTCGTGTAAAATTGTAACGTTATTTGTCTGTGCTGTCTCTGCAGTCATCATTTCCACACTGAAAACAAAAAGTTTTGCTATTAAATGGCCGGTGAAAAAGGTTTGTCGAAATGTTTTGTTTCACCAACAAAACGTTTTGTTGGAAAAACGGAAGATTCAATAGGCTTAGCAAGTTTTTCTTGCTGGCCATATATAACTAATCTTCTTGCTATTTCAGCGAAACTACAACTTTTTCCGTGTAATGTTTTTCTTATTGTGCCATTGCTGTTGTATCATATTTTTTCTTATCTTTTGTTCAGAAACGATTTTACACATCGTTATCAAATTATTAACAGAAATAATATTGTCTAAGTTAGCTTAATGATAGAAGCAACCATAAATTTTAATCAAGGAAGAGATTAAATAATCGGTCTCTTGGAAGATCGTTCTTCTTTCTTTATTTCAAGATACGCCGGTCAAGGGCCGGTATCTATGTACGAAACATTGACCAGGAACCTCGGAGTGACTCAAGGCCCATGGCAGATAATTTTTTGAGGATTGTTAAGTCACTTCAGAGACGCCTTCCCCTGAGGAACAGACACACACAGAAGACAGACCGCTTTCGGGGCCTGGAAAGCATTTTTGACGCTCTGCTTTCTCTCTCTTTCTCTCCTCTCTCTCTCTCTTTCTCTCTCTCTCTCTCTCGCTTGCTTCTTCTCATTGCTCGACTCTAGAAAACTGGAAAAAGACCACCTCCGCTCGATGGAAAATTAAAGGGCGCATCGTATCACACGGATAGTCCGTCACTGCGGAGATGAGAGACGTGAACGCGTACGTACAAGTATATACGTAATAATACATATACGCAAGATACGCGTATATCCGCGTACGTGCGACGGAGCTATACGTATGTACGCACGCTTTTCCTTTGAAACAACTCGAACTTCCTATCGCAACCACCGCGTCTCTTTGTAGACGCGGATGAACCGTCTCGGATCCGGGATAATGCGAGATTCTGCGACGCCACGCGTCTCTCTTTCCGTTTCTCGTTCTCTTTTCTCCGTTACCCGCTCCCCTTACGTCCCGCACGCTCGCGGTCGCACAGGATCGCAGAGATCCTACAGCGAAATAATATCCCGACGCGGAAAGATCCGTGCCGCGGATATCGATCTCCACACAAGTAGAGAATGAGAGGTTTTACTCGCGGAATAATTAATGTGAGAGAGCAGGTATTCCTGTGTGTGCTCCTCCGCGCACTCCGCTTTCTCTGTGATCCGACGCTACGTGTTTACCGCCTCGAGAGTTCGAGGGACGACGACGACGGATGCACAACCGCGCCGCTGTGTTGCTACGATCGGCCTGTAAATCTGGCTGCATTTAGCACCAGCGCCTTGCTGCGACAGGGAAAACGTCGCTTCTCTTTTTTTTTTTGTTTTTTTTTTTTTACTCCAGAACACATAGTCTCATGATGAAGCGGTAATAGCCGCGAAGGAAAGCAAAGAAATGATGTGGTATTAATTGAAATATCTAATGTTACAAAAGAAGTATTTGTCAGTGTGATTTTTATTGATGTGTATTCGAAGTCCTTGAATTTTTGTAGTCTGCTTGAAAAGGTAAAAACAAAGTTGAAAAGTTTTTGGAAAAAATCTGAAGATTGTCACACTTAGCATGTTCTCTTTTAGTATTTGTCTAAAAAAGATTTTTATTGCGTAAAATACAAAAACGCTTTTTTTATGCTATATCCTGAACACTAGGACCAAAAAATTGTGTTCTCTAAGTGATTTTGGATGATCTGAGTATCTAAAATATAAAAAAAAATTGTTTTCTGCGCGTGTATTTATATAATTGGATATTGTTATAGTCGCACATGTAATTTGTAAGAAGTTTCTCGTAGTTATCAAAAGTAAACTTGAAGCAATTTGTTACGCACGACGGAATACCGCAACAGAAACTCATCGCCGGTGTAACGAGTGCGGCAACGATCAGCAACGAAAACTTGGCGTCGTTCCAAGCAACATTAATACATTTGGGAGTTATCGCGGTAACTTAAATGCCTGGTCAGCATTAATCGCTCCGACACCGTAAAGATCGCATTCTGCATCTCAAAAAAATATTTTTATGTCCACACCTATGTACGCGAGCTCCCCGCGCGCACACGTAAAATCATATGTGAACAATTGAAAAATATACACAATGATGACCGACTTACACATCATCGGCAATGTGACGAAATTAAACTCCGTACTTTTTAATAAAAAATATTTCTAATATTTAAAATACAAAACTACCTCCTAACTAGAAAAAGATAAATTTATAAATACACAGATAACAAATATTGTTTAAACATGTATTTTCGAGCTGTGCACACACATCGCGGAATTTCTCGTACTTGATAAAGAACCGTTGAACGTTCTTCACGTCCGTTGGAACGCGTTGGAAAAATCGTATCCGCCGCGTTCTCGCGCCTCGAAGGAAGGGTTGCGTTTTGGAAAAAGCGCGCCTTTCCCCTACCACTCGTTCGAGAGAATATCCACGAGAGAAGACTTGGTCTCCCTCTTCGTAGTTATCTTTGGCGCGACAAGGAAGACAGACGCCGACGTCGGTGAGCGAGAGGAGGCGGAAGAGAAAGAGAAACGGATCCGGCGATCCGACAACGGACGAGGAGAGACGAACGTGCGGGCGTGCTGTACGTATGGCGTACACAAGCCGAGTTATACGCGAGCACTCGAGTGGAAGGGAGAGAGAATGATAGCGAGGGCGAGAGAACGGACGGAGGGGCACGGAAAGAGGAGCGCGACGATGAGGGAGGGAGAGAGTCAGCGACAGAGAGACAGCGCGAAAGCCAGGGAAGGAGGGGGAGCGTTACCCCCACTACCGGGGGGTGAAAACTACCCCGAGAGCGCGTGGGGTGTCCGGCCTCGGCTCCGAGGCGAACCGAGAACGTCCGAAGCGAGCGCAGTGCCCGACATACACCAGGTCCCGCACGGCACACGACTAGAGGCGCGCACAGTCCGGCACACAGTCCACTCGACGATACGACCCATGCTGGACCGTCGTCGCTCTGGTCCACGCCGGCATCAGGCATCCAGCACCCGCGCTGTCATCAGGCCGCACCAGACAACAACATCAGCCCGCCGAGGCCGCACGTCGAGGACGCGGTGTCGTCGCGCGTCGACATCACGTCATCGTGATCGAAGCGCGTGGGACCGCGGGTGCATCACGCCGACTGCCGGCAATTAAAAATAGAAAAACAAAAACGGAAGATAAAGAGAAAGATAAGAAAACACACAGAGATAAAGATAGAGATAGAGAGAGAGAGGAACGTCGAAGGATCTGAGGAAAACAGCCGGACGACGACCGTCTGGGATCTCCGGTTCATCGAACTCGCGTGAAACATCACGCCGCGACTCTACGGAGTACTCGTGGCGCGACACATTTTTGGACTTGTTTATATTTTTCATTTTTTTCTCAACGCCGATGTCGACAGAATTCCAAAGTGATAGCGAGCTGTCAAGTAGGGAGCGTTTTTGACTGTATCGTGAATTCTCGTGCGGGAAATCCAAAGTGACTGTGAAAACTAAATTGACCGTGGCGAGAAGGACAAAAGTGACTGGTTGTTGCTGCGTGTCGACGCGACTGTTTTCGGTTTCGCGAACAGATTTCGTCTGATTGCGGGACAACGCGACGATACAACTGTCAATCGCGAAAATTCCCGCCGAGAACAGACACGCAAACGTTCTTCCGCACCTGTGCACGCGGATATCGTTCCGGTCAGTTAGTCGCTCAATCGGCCGGCCGCATCAGCTCCGCGGTGTCATATGTCGCGCGTATTCTCCACGGTGGTGAAGAATGCGGTGCAGTCGCGTACAAGCGTGATCGACGGAGAACATGAGGACCGACGCTAGTTGACGAACAAGTGTTCGCACATATCGCGGTGTTTCAGGTGCGCGACTTGTCGGATAACGCGTCCAGACGCATAAACAAGACACACGTCACGTTAGTTGGGAAGGAAAGGAAGGTGAGAACAGTGCTTAAGATACACGAAAAATCTCGGATGGACTCTCTCGCGGGAGGCGAAAACGCGCGGCGGAGGTGAGAGGGAGGAGGGCGGAAGCGTGACGACGGCCGAGATCAGGATCGCGTCCTTTGTCCTGTTGTTCTGCCACCGACGTGCGCTCGTCGCTTCCTCCTTCCTCATCTCGTTCCCGCGGATGTGATCCAGGAGTCCGGAAGAAAACAACCTGGTCGGTTTATCTTGGTCCCGGGCGCGCAACAACGACAGCAACAACCCCCCGTTCCGTCCTGGTCGCCCGAAGCTGAGGGCTCGTTTCTTGAGAAACAGTGACGCTACGTGACGAGAGTCGAAAATCGCGAACGCCACCATGAGGATCAAAATGCCCGCGGTCAGGATCGCGCAAGGTGAGTTGTGTAAACGATAGCAAAAACCAGACATTCTTCATATCATGCCCGTCCGTCGGCCAGCTTGTTGATCGTTTTTCGTGTTTACATTTGTTTTTTTTGTGCAACATTCGTCGCAATGTTGAAGGATGACACGCGCTTAACGTTCGGAAACACGGTCACTTTGCAAATAACTCAATTGAGGAAAGAACGAAATGACTGTCACGGCCGACGGTGTGAGAACCGAAGGCGCGTGTTACGATTAGACACATGCTAAACGCGTGATACTCACCACGTTGCGAGGACATCGTGTGGCGATGAATTATTATGTTTATGAAAGCAAGTTTATTGTCTCTCATGCGATGTTAGGCGAAACAATGTATAGAAAAAATGATTAAAAGCTTTTTATCCGGATACTTCGATATGTTTACCACATTATATCACTTAACTTATGAGCTACTTTTTATTTTAGGAGATGGAGCGCGAAGATTAGATTAGATTTGATACCAAATTCTGATACTTTAGTTTTGTCATTTATTACCCAACTTTAGGATGGGACGTTGTAACTTTGAAATATTTGTGAACGTCGGGAAATTTAATTTCATCGTCGATGAAATGTAAAACATGAATATTCAGTTTTTTCGATTTTACCAACATCCGTATGCTTTAATTAAAATAATTATTTGTTCCTTTCTAGAAGTGGAGAAAGGAAACTGAAAATTCAATAAGAAGTTGAAATTATCATCACAATAATTATAACATAATTAGTAAACTCTCAATAAGTATGACGTAGGATCTTGATTTACAACAAATCAAATGTTCAAAACGTAAACATTCATCGATATACATTTGTTTCGCCTAAAAAATATATCGCATATTTGTTTACGTCGACAATTTTTATAAGTTCTCAGTATTTAAAAACTTCTTTATTACGTAGAATTAAATCCTTATGTTTAATACGTCAGAAAACAATAATAAAAAATCTTTTTTTCAGCCAAAATCACACACAATATTTTATATTTTTTATATACTGATACATGTTTTTTGTTTTCTTTATCACATTTTGATCATTTGATTACATATCGATATTCGAAAAAGAAGCTAAGTTTTAATTAGAAACACATAATTGTATGTGTTGAAGAATATCTAATTTCTACGACCTAATTTCTACGATTTTAAATTTTTCTCAAGCGCGGATCAAAAGCAATCTTTCTTTCCCCGTTTTGTTAACTGCCGTCGACAAATTCGTGCCATTTGTAACGAGAATTCTTGACGCTCATCGGTGGCCCGCAAATCCTTCTTCCCGGGCGATCTGCGATCGGATCGTCGTAAATCGTTTTCAATCGAGTCACGCAAGTCCAGCACGCTTTACTTCGATCCTAATCATTTTATATCCGTCCCAATTCCGTCGGCGTTACGCGTCATCTTCTCCTACGTCATATAAAAGAAAGAAAAAATCGTAGAGAAAAGCGAACTTCGAAATCAATTCCTTCCGCAATTAATCCCCTTTTTCTCCGAGAAAAAGACTCAAGCGTAGTAGTCATAATGCAAGTTTTCCTCATTGAACCGGTATCCCGGTCGCGATCCGGTAATTAACTCCGTTTCCTCAGCAAACTCGCGTTTCGATGAAGAGGGCAACCTGTCGATGAGGTGATCGCGTTGCCGCTCCTCGTGGTGCAACGAAAAAAGAGAAAAAAAGTGAAAAGGATCGACGGTCGCGTGGCCGACGACGGAGGGAAGGTAAAAAAGCTACGAACGGCGCGAGAAAGTTAAGAGCGAGAGAAAAAGAGAGAGGAGAGAAGGAGAGAGAGAGAGAGAGAGAGAGAGAGAGAAAGGAAGAACGGGAGTATAAGGAGAAAGTGTATGTGTGAGTGAATGAACTTAAGGGGGAGAGGGAGAGGTCGAACGAGAGCGAAAGAGGGAAAAGAGGGATGGAAGGCCAACGTCTTCGGGTAAATTGTCGTCAGCTGAATTTTTAATTAGTCCGTGATAGCCCCCACCAGACGAGAAGAGTGTAGGTGGCCAAGAAGGTAGAGAAGGAGGAAAGGGGGAGAGAGAGAGAGAGAAACAAGGAAGGAGAAGGCGGAGATGTAGGAAAAGAAGAGGCGGGTGAGGGGAAGAAGGTGGCGGTGAAAGGTGGCGCGGGGAGGTTAGGAAGGGCGGCATTGTCATGCGCGCGTTTTTCAGAGACTTTTCCACCCCCGCGGCCGCTACCCCCCGTCGGCAATACCCGCCCCCGCAACACCCGCGACAGACACCCCCTCGTCCCCACGGAGCTGCGGCGACGCCGGCGACGGCGGTGGTAGCGGCGGCGGCGGCGGCGGCTCCGTTTTCTTAATTACAACTGCGATATTCTTTAGTTCGCGCGATGACGCCGCCGCGAAAAGATACCAGAATATTTCGCAGCACTGATTATCCCCTCGCGCGCCGATTCGGTTGATTTAATACAACTGTTACGGGGGTAGCGTAGCGATCGATAGATCGATGTATTATACCACCTCGATTTGTGAGTGATGATGGACGACATGTGTCGGCTCTTAAGACAATGGGAGGGAGAAAGAGGGAGGAGAACTGATATCGGCACGCGACACAATCGATCGATTGTTGTGATCAAAGAGAAAAAGATAACATTGTGGACATCGCGAATTCGCAAGTTTGAATATCTCCCACCTTGAAGCGGAATCAAAGAGGAGGAGGGCAGTAACAGTGTCGTCAGATCTTTAGTCGATGAATGGATGATGACGCGAATAATATCGTTCCTCATTAAAAGGTGAGTTTTCGTTGATATATTAAAGTGAAACAATATTTTAAGTCTTTGAAGAATTATGAATTTCACAGAATTCGGTTGCAGCAATTAAAAAGACTCTTTATCACATTTATGCAGATTTCTCGCAGCCGTTGAGTAAACTGTCGGTTATTTCTCGAGCTTTCGAGGCTTTAAATTACTTTGTTTGCAAACGTGCGAGATTATCTTCTTTCTCGAAGCGTATGTCGCCTGCATACATCTCGATTACCTGTTCTGTGTCTCCTACGTACATAGACATTGGCGACAGTAAATAGATCGTGCATTTACTTGCACGTCGAACGATACAGATGCATCCTATCACGCGATCACTTTCCCATAACGTGCTATGCAAAAGCGACAAGCGTTTATAAGGTATCTATCTCATTCAATATTAGCGAGCGCGTTTTTGTAGATTTATGATACGCGAACACAATCGGTGGTGATAATTTTTAAAATATAACAAAAAAGTTTTTGAAGAATATTTAAATGCGAGATTTTTTGATAAACAATATTTTTAGAACAAATTACTAATATATAAAGAATAATTTTTTTTTTCAATTTAATTTTAATTACTTAAAACTTTATGATGTTTTGTTGATATTGTAAAACTTTTTTAAATGTTTGATAGATTTTTTTAGCCAGGAATATATCTATAAGTTTATTTTAAATTAAAAAAAATATATTCTTGTGTTAAAATATAAAATAAACTTTTTAACTTTCAATGTTCCGTAATAATATCAGTTTTGAATCATATATTTCACATATTTTGGATATTTATCCAACTCTCTATTTATTCCAACGTTATTTTGCCACGTCCAGTCTGATGTGTTTCTGATTATAAAAATAAATACGTTGATACAAATAAATGTTATAAGAGCATCATTTTGTCTATTGTTACTTCCTTAACAAATTCTGAATCACAAAGCGCTAAGTTTACCGCGACCTAACGTTGCAAATCGTTCGTCAACTGCGTTTTGTCTTTGTTCGTGTATTACGATTTACCACGTCATGTTCTAATCGATATAGTCGCGCCTCGTTTAATCTAAACCAGCCTTTGGGCCTTTGGACGAGCGGCAAAAGTTAACAAGCGCGTTCGCCGATTCCGCTCACCGATCCACGAGAGGAGTTTCTTACGCGCCCCGCACCTAGTCTTGAGACACTCCCGAGGATGTTATTTAGCAAACAGAGCGCTTGAAGCTTTGCCCCCCCGCCGGCACGTGCGCGGCATATGCGTCTTTCGCGCGCTGCATGCACGTTGAATATTGTCTTTGATGCAGCCGGTCGGAACAGCCCATCTCCTCTCGTCTCCTTTTCCTTCTCTGTCACTCTCTGTCCGTCCTCTTTTTGGATCTCGTGCTCTCTTCTCTCGTCGACCAAAAAACCGTCTTGATTTGATATCCTAGATTAACCTTTAGGGCGCCGGGCGCGTGGCCGAACCCTTTCCTTCACCTTCGCTTCTCGTGATCCCTCTCTTCCGTCCTTTTCTCGCTCTCTTTTGCTGTCTCTTCAATGTGTTGGTCCAGCACGCGACCAGGTAAAAAGGAAGCGCATACTCTTTTTTTTTTTTCTTTCTCTCTCGTCTCTTCATGCACGATGATGGCAGCAAAAAGACCTTGCAAGCATGCTTTGCGGAAAAGACGCGTGCTGTAGACAAATGAAGTGTTCGTTGCAACAAAAATAACAGATGCACGTATTGTTATTTCGAATTGACGCGATTGAATCCATTGCAATGTGTCGCGTGATGGTATTATAGATACTTTTTGCGGGAATTTTAGTATTTTACACGTGTAAATTAATCGAATTGGAGCTTTCAATAGAAATATTTAATACGATGGGACTTATTGTTACTTGATAAACATATATAATTTAATTGGCACATAACGTGCGCGTCGATCTAATGAAGAGAGATTAAATAAAGGTAATACTAAATATTATCGCTGTGCAAGCGATGTGTAACAATATTACTTGAAATTAATGCCCGCGAGAATCCCTCATTAATGCAATTTAATTAATAATTTAATATCAATAAATTTCGAGAAATTTACCTGTTCGAAGACCGACATTGAGATGGCGCCACGTACAATCGCCGGATATGTGGCGCATTTGACGTATACTAAAAAAAAAACATAGTAACGCGGCTTAACAAATCCTCTTATTGTAAAAAAAATTGCTATAAAATAAAACATAATAACTAATAGAATTCTGAACTTAAAGTTTTTGTAGCAAAACATCGCTC